TTGCTGTCTTTTCTGGTGGTCGCCGTAGCCTTCGAAGGCGCACTCGTGGTCCTCGCAGCTCAGCTGTAGGCCATCGTTCGTCTGTTGGAAGCTGAGGTCGCTCAGAAAGTGGCCAAGGTGTCTGTGCCAGTGGCTCCCGTAGGGCAGGTTGTGGTCCTCGCAGCCTTGCGTGAGGCCCTCGTCGCTGGCGGTTGCACTTGCAACCTTGCTGGTGGCACTTGTAGCTCAGCAGGTGGTCGTTACTTCTCTGCTTCTTGGTCCTCGTAGTTCAGCCCGTGGCCCTTGTAGCTGTGCTGGTGGTTCTGGTAGCTCAGCTGGTAACCCTGGTGCCTATACCGCTGCCCTCGCGGCTCGTAATTCAGCCTGTGGCCCTCGTAGGTTCGCTGGTCGCACTCGCCACCTTGCTAGAAGCTCTGAGATCTCAGCAGTTGGCCCAGGAAGCTCTGCCAATGGCTCCCTTAGCTCTGGTTGTGATCCGCGTAACACTTCCCGTGGCCTTTGCAATTCAGCCTGTAGCTCTTGCAGTCGTGCTGATTGCCCGCGTTGCTTAGCAGGTGGCCATAGTTGCTTCGTGGTGTCTCTCGTGGCTCAGCTGGAGGCCCTCGTACTTGAGCTGCTGGCCTTCGTAAAACACTTGGAAGCTGTGGCACCACAGCAGTTGGCCTGGGTGGCTCTGCCAATGGCTCCCGTATGTCCTGCCGTGGTCCTCGTCGCAGCCCTGTTGGTGGTCCTCGTATATCAGCCGGTTGCACCCGTGGCTCAGCCGATTGCCTGCGCACCTCTCCTGGCGCCTCTCGTGGCCAAGCTGGCAGTCCTCGTAGTTCGGCTTGCGGTCCCCGAACGTCGTCTGGTGGCCCTGGTAGCTCTGCTCGTGGCTGTAGCAGGTGAGACGGCACGCTCCCTTCGTAGTTCCCGAGGTCCGAATCGGAGCCGCCCGCTGCCAAGCCGTGCTGTTCCACATCCTCGCAGCCAGTGTAGTCGTGGGGGCCGTAGGGATACAAAAGGGCATCGAAGAAACTGCCGTCGTCGCGCTGGCGGTACGCGGCGCGGCCGTTGTCGTGCTCGTCTTCGGCGGCGCGGCCGCTGTCCAAAAGTACCTCCGCGACAACATACTTAGTAACCCCTTCGGTCTTGTGTCGGCATTGACGGCGTAGTTGGTGTTGTTGCGGTGTTGGGGCAGCCTGCTACGCAGCTCGCTGTCGTTCGCCTTCGGGCCGCATGTTGCGCAACTCGTCCGGTCCTGTGGTGGACGCCATCACGAAGGCTGCCCTAGCGATGGTAATGATGTCGTAGACGTAAAGTTGTAGCAATGCGTTGGATGAAGCAACCCATTCTCTTGACAACCGCGTCTGCTCGTACACCTCTACGCGAATACAGTGCATCGGCGCCCTTGAAAGTGAATCTACGCCGAGGTGGGTAGGCCTCGAAACCATCTATTGAGCAGGGACCGACCGTCCTGGCATTCCTGTGGTCCTACAACGAAATGTTCTTAGAACCCACAAATGTTCGAATCACAAAAACAATGTTCTCAGAACATGAGCCCGATGTGATGTTCAGAACACACGAATGTTCGAATAACAAAAACAAGACAGACTCCGCCAGACATGTTCTAATAACATGTCGTGGAGACCACAAACAGGTTGTTAGAAAGGTGTTTGGTAGGGCTATATAGGCGAGCCAAAACGCTTCGCCTCTGGTTGACATCTACGACCGTTCCAAACGTCCGGCCTCCACAGTCAAGCTGCGGAGTAAGGATGCACGAGAAGGATGCATGGGCCTTGGAAAGCCCGCCCCAAGGGTACCCTAAGGGGCTGGCCAGCGAAAGTTGCCCGGGATGGACCGAAGGGGGGAAGGATGCATGTGTCACCTAGGACAAGTTGCTCATCCTTGCTCCGCGGGTTGACTGTAGTTCGACAACGATGCTGCATGCCGCTCACCGCACCACCTGCGGTCCATGGCTGGCGGCCGGCGGGCTCAGGCCAGAACCCTCATGGAGGCGCGCGCGCGCGGCCCGACGCAGCGCCAGGGGGTGCGTGCGGGGGTCGTGTATCCCGCGTGTAGCCTTCTTCCTCCCCGTGCTCCTCCTCCTCCTCCTCCTCCTCCTCCTCCTCCTCCTCCTCCTCCTCCTCCCCGTCCTGCTCCTCCCCGTCCTCCTCCTTCTCCCTCCCCCCTCTCCTTTCTTGTTCCTCACTCCTCCGCCTCCGCCTCCTTTTCCATCCCCTACTCGTCCTCCTCGTCATCCGCCTGCTCGCGTGGCTCCCCCTCTCAAGGAATGCCTCCGGCCTTCGGGAGATGCTTCAGGATGTTTCATGGGGAGGCACTGTGGGGCATCTTGCATATCTGTGGTGCCGGGTCTGGGGGTTCCCTTGTTCCCTGTTTTGTCATGAGCCTCTGGGAGGCTCTCGGGGTCCAACCTATCGGGGCAGCACTCGAGGTGTCGTTGCTCGGGTTGCCTTTCCTCGGCTCGTACTGTCTTGTTGCCTGGTTCGGACGACATTTTGGATGCCCTCTTGGGCCGCTGTGGGCCACTCTTGGCTTGCCCGGGGTCCGCTGGGAGACCTCTGGAACCTCTTCTTGGCTCGGCGTGGCAAGTCAGGGGCTCGAGAACAATATACCAAAAGCGTGTGTGCGGGGCCGGCAAGTATTACACCACCACCAGGCGGCAACAGAAATTAATGAGTAACGCGCGCGACCGCCCCGACAGGGGCCGTCACTGCGGGCCTGCGCAAACGGCAAGTACTCGTCACATGGCCATGCGCGCGGATAGTGGCGGCATTTGGTCGAGAAGTGTGGCTGCCACGTACCCTGTACTGCAAAGCGGGATTTAATATGTATATATACATACATATAGAATAAATAGGTATAAGACAGACCCCGGAGAGTTCGATATCCCATCACGAAGCATGCACCATGGTCTTGTTTCTGTGCTGGCGACTTACGATTCCAAACGCGCTGGCGTCTCTTTGGCGCGCATCTTCTACTTCCGCCTTCCGCCGCCTCCCGTCAAACTTCGGCCAGCTTTCGCCGGCTTCTACTTCGGGCTTCCGCAGCCACCCGACGAAGAAGACACGGCAACTCCGTCGATCATCGAAGGAGAGGCCATTTCCGGAACGCCTCGGTACAGTCAAGTCACATAACAAGGATGCGCGGTAAGGATGCAAGGGCATTCGAGGGCCATGTGGCGTTTTCGAACGGGGGCGGCCAGCGAAAGTCGCCAAGGATGGGCAGAATGGGTAAGGATGCCAGGGTAGCCTTGAAGGGGCTGACCCAAACGGGGAGTCAAGAGAAAGGCGCTACAGAGGCCATTCAGGGCCCCTTCCGGACCCCTGTTGGCTGTAAGTCGGGCGTGTCCCCATGCAGGGGGATTTGGGGCGAACAATCCGCCGACCCTGTGTCGGCGTGTGTGAGGGGTTGTTCGTCCTCGTCGTCGTCGTGCTGACCCACGTCGTCACCACGTCAAAGGGAAGCCCGGGAAGCCCCTTCCCTTTGATCCCTCCCACGTCGGGGGGGGGGCCCGGGGGGGGTGGGGGGTGGGGGGTGGGGGGGGGGGTCAGATACGACTCCGCCCCGGGGGCCTCCTCCTCCTCCTCCTCCTCCTGTTCCTGTCCTCCTCCTCCTCCTGCTCCTCCTGCTCCTCCTGCTCCTCCTCCTCCTCCTGCTCCTCCTCCTCCTCCTCCTCCTCCTCCTCCGGTCCTCCTCCTCCTCATCCTCCTGTTCCTCCTCCTCCTCCTCCTCCTCCTCTTCCTCCTCCTCTTCCTCATCATCCTCCTCCTGCTCCCCCTTGCTCCCCTCCTCTTGCTCCTCCTCTACCTCCTGCTCCTCCTCCTCTTGCTCCTCCTCACCCTCGTTTTCATCTTCGTCGTCTTCAGGGTCGGCGGCACTGGGCGTAAGGCCTTCGCAATAACACATTCCCCCAAAATGCCCCCCAAATACTCAAAAATAGTCAACAAAATCGTCCCCAGACTACTTTTTGACTATTTTTGAATATTGCCCCTGTAGAGGGACAGGCCCGAATTGCCACCCACCCGAGCCGCCCTCGACGCCGACGACCACCAAGGGAGACCAACGTCGCGCTTCGCGAAGCGCGAACAGCTTCGCGCTCTCGCCCCCGCCCCCCATGGGAGAAGAGGAGGATGAGGAGGCATCGGAGCCGAAACGCCGCGGAGCGCGACGCGCGAACACCTCCGCGCCCTCGGGGGCGCCCTGGACTACCACCCGCCTGGGCCGCGCTCGACGACGACGGCCACGGCCGGCCGGCGTGCGGGGGTCCTGCGGCAACTCATGGGAGCCCGCCATGCCATCTTGTCGGCTCTTGCGAGTCCACGCTGCTCGACGCTGAATCGACGCTGAATCGACGCTGACCGAAGCTGAAGCGGCGCTATCTCGTCGACTCCCAGACGCCCATCGACGCGTAAGACACAATTGCGAGGTTATACTCGGGCTGGATTGGAGAGGACACGCGAGAGGACACAAGACCCTCCCGAGGACCACGTTGCCACAGGAAGGTAGGAGGCATGGGGTCCCGAAGTGGAAGACAAAACGGTACCCTTGATTTGGCAGGGTCGACCTACTAATCTAGGAACAAGGAGAGGCGAAAACAGCACCAACAGGGCGAGGAGATGCGCGGAGCCAAGGGGGTTCTCCCCCCCCCCCTCTCGCTCGAGACACCCCCAGTCTCTCGCTCGGGGAGGCATCGTGGACCCCCTCGCTGGAGGTGGGCCCCCTGGTGGTGTTGCTATCGCTCCTCTTACCAGCCTGGAACATCTCCCTATCCCTATGTTGGGCATCGCCTCATCACGATGGCGATCTTAGGGATCTCCTCAGTTTCTGAGGGTGTATCCCCAAGATTGTCGTCTCCTCTTGGCGTGCCAATCTTGAGGATAAGGATATGTTCCAGGCTGGTAATTCTCCTCCCTCCGACAACCGGGGCCGACTGCACACGGGGCTCCCACGACTGGCCACCGGGGGCGCCCGCGGGGGGCCGGCAGGGGAGGCGGCGCCTGGACGAGCTGCTCGCACAGGACGCTGAGCACGCCGAGCGGCAGCCGCCTCGGCCCCCGCGGGGCCCGCCGGGCTCGCCCCCGGCTCGTGGGGCTGCAGCCTCCTCCGTCTCCTCCTCCTCCTCCTCCTCCTCCTCCTCCTCCCTCCTCCTCCTCCTCCCTCCTCTTCCTCCCTCCTCCTCCTCCTCCCTCCTCCTCCTCCGCCTCCTCCCTCCCTCCTCCTCCGCCTCCCTCCTCCTCCGCCTCCCTCCTCCTCCTCCGCCTCCTGCTCCTCCTCCGCCTCCTCCTCCCGTCTCCTCCCTCCTCCTCCTCCTCCCTCCTCCTCCGCCTCCTCCTCCTCCTTCCCTCCCCAGCCGTGCAGTGGAGGCCAGTCCTCAAGAGGCCTCCCACAAGAAGCCCAGCCCTGAGACCCAGGGCTCCCATCGATTGTCGGCGTGGGAACGTCACGCTTCCCATGACAACACCATCGGAACCCCAGAAAACCGAGGGCAACCTGAAGGCAAGCAGGGTGCTTCTTGGCATGGGTCTCCACTGTACACGGACGGACGGAAGAAGTACGTAAAACTGCAGTAGGAGGGCGGATGCAGTAGGTTGGGTCCAGACCATCCCAGAGAATGACACATCACAGCAACAGCATATCGGTTCTTCGAGTAGATTGGCATCTGGGAATCCAGGGACACCTACATTCAGTGACCGACGATGAATCCCGAGGAGAGGTTGGGGGGTGATTTGAGCGACGATTGAGAAAGGGTCGTACGCAAAGGATGGCATGTCGACCTCTCGCGGTGGCTTACGCGGTGGCTTACGCGGGCCGCCAGCGTAGCACGCCGCACTGACATCGAGGGCGCTTGCGCGAGAGCTTACGCGGGCAACATGCGCACAAATGTCGGCCACGACGAAGTCGTTTTCTTCCGTCGCTCAATTGTCGATGATCCTCACAACGTGTTTTGAGCAGGGACCGACCGTCCTGGCATTCCCATAGTCATACCACGACATGTTCTTAGAACCCAGCAATGTTTTGTTAACAAAAACAATGTTCTTGGAACATAAACCCCTTGTGATAAAACAGGACAGTCTCCGCCAGAAATGTTCTAAGAACATGTCGTGGAAACCACGAAAAAAGTTCTTCGAACATTGTTCGGTAGGGCTATAGGCGAGCCAGGACGCTTCGCCACTGCTTGAGTGTTAGCGCCAACGTGTGTTTGTCCACCCAGGCCCCCCAATACGACGCAGGCGGTACAGCGAGGGACGACACAGGCGGCGCGCTGTCGGCGACGCCGCACGGGGCAAACACACACGCTTGGGCGAACACACGTCCCGAGGACCATCGAAACTGGCGCCAGCAGGCCCAGGGGGGAAAGAGAGCTGAGGGCAGGCCTTCTCACAGTGCGGCGGGGCTTCGTGTATCCCCGCGCCTTCTGGGAGGTCTCCTGAGCCCTCGCCGAGGACACAGGCAGACGCATGTACCAGAGGGCTTCTGAGAAGCCCAGCCGCCTTCTGAGAAGGCCTCCCCCCTCTCACTCACCCCCGGGGCTCCCCGCTGGAGATCAGGACAGTCCGAAGCAGCCCCGGCAGGAGAGCAGGAGCGCCTGGGCGGAGGAGAGCGTGCCCCACCAGGTGGAGGGAAGATGCAGCGGAGGGAAGCGAGGTCAACGTCAGAGGGGCGACCCGCCCAGGGCAGGAGACATCGAGCCGGGATCGGCCACGCAACCACCGGCAGGTCGGCGGCAGGCCCCCGATTGCGGCTCCGGCACGCTCCCGGGCGGGGTGGGGGAAGCGGGCCCCCTGTCGGCGATGCGCGGGGGGGGCCCCGAGGAGAGGGCGGGCTGGGCAGGACTTGGCTGCGCTCCTGCGCAGACACCTGCTCGCCCTCGCGCCTCTCCGCTCCCCGTCGCGCCGGAGCCGAGCGGTAGCTCCGTTGTCGCGCCCCTACCCCCCGGGCCAGCCGCGAGCGCACTGCGAGAGGCCAGGTGCCGGGGGGAAGGGGGGAGGACTCGGGGGGTCCCCGACCAGTGCGTTGACACAGCGCGCGGCGACGTCGAAACCCCGAACGCTTTGCCACACGGTCTGCTCGCCGCGCGGCTTTTTGGGTCTGGACGCCCGATGGGATCTGGACGCCCAGGATGGACAGGATATCCGACAGCACACGTCGTCCCAAGCCGACAGTGGCCGCTCCTGGGCAGGCGGCTTTCCGGGCAGGCGGCCTCCCGTCTCGCACGGAGTTAGCGTCCGCGGCGACACCGACGACGAGCCCTGCTTCCAAAATGGTCAGGAACGGCTCTCGGTCTCTGAACCCAGTCTTCCCGTACCCATCGGTCGAAAGAAGTAGGCAGAACATTGAAGCAGGGAGGCGCTGAAAGCAGATCGGGTTCCGTCCGCCCCCTGGGGAGGACGGAGACGCTGAAGCCGCTCGATCATTGAAGCAGGAAGGCGCTGAAAGTCGACTGGAACATGGGAATCCCCCAAAAATACCTGCCCTCAAGGATTCGCAAGAATTCCTAGGGATTCCTAAGGATTCCTGGGGTTGCCGGATTTGTCCGGATCCCGCACAGACCCTCCTGGGGCGTCAAAATGCTTGCTTTTGTTCCCACTAGAAACCTATCAGCAAAAGCTGTTCGGTAAAAATACATGCTCTCAACGATCGATGGGTACCCATTTCGATCGTCCCGATTGCAGGGGCCTCGGGGAGAACACGCCCCGGCTCCACGGCCCGCGCGGCGGCACCCCGCACCCCCCCGTCGGCCCCGCGGTGTGGCCGCCGGGCCACCGCACCGCCCAGGGGGCCACCCCCCCTGGAGCACGGGAGCACGGCGCGGCCGCGCCGCTCACCCCGCGGGAGCGCCCCGGGGTCAGCTCCCTTGCTGCGCGGCCAAGGGCCGCCTGGCCAAGGGCTTCGTGGTCGCGCACCTCCCGGGGCAGCGTGCAGCCCTCCTGTGCCTTGCAGGCACACTTCGCCACCACGAAGCCTGCCGCAGCCTTCACCTCGACGAGCCTCTTGCCGCTACAGCAGGCGAACGTGCGTGCGGTGCCGCCGGGCCGGTCGTCCTCTGGTGCGTTCCGCAGCGCGCGGCGGCGGGGCCTCCGGTGGCGGCCGCCCTGCTCGGCCGGCTCGCGAGCCCCGCGGCCGGCTCGGGCAGCTCGGCTCTGCTGGGGCGGACTCTGGGGTCTCCCAGATGGGGTTCTGGGCAGGTGGGGTCGGAGGATCGCGCCGCATCTCGGATGCATCGTTGACTCATCGACGACCCCATCTACTCCGACCCCATATGGGAGGCCTTTAGAACAGCTTCCGATATTAGAATTCCTCGAAGAAGAAGCCACTACATAAACGCAAACCTTCGGAACTCCGCTGTTATTTCTCGGATCGGCGCTGAAGCTCCCCTGGCGGCGCCTCTGGCGCCGCCACGGGCACGCTCCGCGCGCCAGGAAGGGGAGCTCAACGCGCGAAAATTCATGTTTGTGTTGATTTTCTCTTTCCGAGGAAACGCAAGAACCGATGCGTATACCGCTACTCTTCCATCGTCGCCACGGCTGGGATCGCCTCGAAATCCTGATCAGAACGCGCCCTGAGAGATGTCTGTGGAGCAACGGTATCCACATCTTTTCGTCCGTCTCCCCAACTTCTAAGGCTCAGGCGGTCCCCTGCCTTGTGAGAAGCCCCGCGGCTTCTTGAATGGCTGCCTTGCGGCCGCACCTGTCGCACCAACCTGTCGTGCGTGCCATCAAGGGTGCCCGCGCGCGCCGAAATTTTCCACACCGACGGCGCGGATGCGTCGGCGATGCGGCGCGATCCTCCGACCCCATCTGCTCGGACGCCATTTGGGAGGCGGCGAGGCCAGTTCGGCTTGGACACCCGACGTGGGCACTTTGAACATGGGCACGATGCCCAACAGCAACCGCTGTCCAAAGCCGGCCGCGGTCACTGCCGGCCAGGCAGTCGTCTGCCTAAAACGGAGGTCGTCCGCGGCGACAGCGACACCACACACTGGAAGGGCCTGCGCAGTGCCCACGAGAGGGCGTGCAGAAATCGGGTGCGGACGACGCTGCAGAGCCCAGCCGTTGCGCCCATCCTTTCCGTACCCGCTCGTCCCGGCTCGTCCCCGTGCGCGCTGCTGGACTCCGAGCCCTCTCCCACCGACCATCGGCTGCCCTGAATCCATGGGATGGCGGGGGCGGGGCCCGGAGTCCGCCACGAGAACGACGAATTGCGAACTCTGCCGCGGCCGCCCATCCAATTGCCCGAATCGACCCGTCGCAAATGCGAGCACCTCAAGCCGATCTTGCGTCTCCTTGCCTCCCTGCCCACTGTCAGCCTGGGCCTCCTTCCCCTCCGCCCTCCTCCCCCGTCCCGAAGCCTCGCCCTCCCCACCCCCCATTTCGAGTAGGAGATCGACTACAGAATTGATGTATCCCAAACTTGGATTGTGGTCGGATCTAAATGAACAAACGCATGCCCGAAGATCTACGAACAAAATATATTTGCTTCCGTCGATTAAGAGGAAAACTCAATGATGAATTACATAACTGATGTAGTCGATCTCCTACTCCAAGGGTGCCCGTCAGTCAGAAGACGTACGTGCAAACTTGAGCAGGAAGGCGGACAGAGCAGATTGGGTCCGGGCCCGCCTGGAGAAGAATCGCAGACAGCAACACGCTTCGATTCCTGAAAATTGGAAGGTGCTTGAAGCATAGTGGGATCTGGATACCCAAAACTCGGCAGCGAGCGAGGGGGCCAGAGTGAGAAGGAGAAGGCCTTCGCATCAGGCGGCGGGACTTCTCAGCTCCACGAGCTGCCGCCGCCTCGCGCGCGCCGCGGGCCGCCGAGCCCCGCGCGGGTCGCCCGCGCGCCGCCGCACGCGGAAGGCCACCCAGGGGCGCCGGCGCACCGCCAGGGGCACGCCGTGCTTCTCCGCCAGCGACGCCTGCGCTCGCCGGGAGGGTCGAGGCGCGGGGCGCTGCACGTGAACGTCTCGTCGGCCACAAGAGGCCACCAGCCCTCTCGCTGGTCTCTCTCTCTCCCTCTCTCTCCCTCTCTCTCCCTCTCCGTTCTGCTTCTTTAGTCGTCCCATTGCTCCTCCGTCGACATCTCTGGGAATCTCGGAAGAGCACACCGCGCTCGAGAATCTCCGCCGGGGAGGGGAAGGAGGAGGAAAAGCAGGAGGAGGAGGAGCAAGAGGAGGAGCTAGAGGAAGAGGAGGAGCTTGCTAGCTTACGAGCCCACAGAGCGCAAACTGGTGGCCCGCGAACGCCCTGGAGGGGAAAGAGAGAAGGCCCCGCTCCCCCCCCCCTCCATCAAACCTGCCAGAGTCGTTCCCGCGCCCAGCCGCCGTCGTCGTCGTCGTCGTCGTCGTCGACGTCGTCGTGGTCGTTGTCGTTGTCGTTGTCGTCGTCGTCGCCTTCGCCGCTCCCCTTCCCTTCTCCTAGGCACGTCGCCGCTCACCCTATTTTCAGCGGGCCCTCCCTTCGAGCGCGCCAGCCACAGCGAAATTGAGCAACGTTGCAGTTGAGTCGAAGGGAGACAAGCCCCTTCCCTTTGATACCTTCCCCGCCGGGGGGAGGGGCCCGGGGGGGGTCGCCACCCAGATACGACTCCCCCCCGGGCGGTTCACGGGCCCAGAAAAGCCCCAAGACGCGGCAAAATTACCCCAAGATGCTCCAAGACGGTCCTCGAGGGCCCCGAATCGCCGAAGAATCGGTCCAAGTCGCCAAAGAAGCCTCCAGACGGCTCAAAAGGTTTCCAAAATGCCCGAAGGGGCCGCCTCCAAGAGGACTTCCAAGAAGACCCCAAGGGGTAAAAATTGTAGATTTCCCTTCGGTTTTT